TGTGAATAGTCTTTTTTTTCTGCAATGTCACTTTCCCTTACAGGTCTCCTCACCATTCCCACCCTGTGGCTAGACAGTGAAAGAAGAAGCAGTACACGGATGGACTTGTCTATCTGTCACTCTGTTCTTTCCTTCTATCCACGTTTCCTGCACTGCAGCGGATTGACTCCTTGTGCTGTTCTTCACTGCTTCTTAGTTATGTGGTGCAGGCTGTACAATAGACTGCAAGGGGCAAACTCCAAGTGAAATTTAGATACACTGCTTACATTTTAGAATACATTTAATGATGTATTAGAGATTGCAGAGCTGCATCAATTTGGGTTTGTTATATCTGTTTGGAGTTCAGCTTTAAATTTAATAGTGCAGTGCACCTGCCATTTACCAAATATGATTACTATACATATGACAATTTTATGCCACAGCAGTGATGGTCTGTGTTTTGCCATTGCTTAGAATATACTTTTTAATGTTCTCTGTATTTTGTTATAGCTTCATCATTTATTTATTTTATAGTAGCTGCTTGTGTGTCACCAATATGATACATAATGGTATGCTTTCTGGCAAATAATTGTAACCACTCAATTAATGTAGAAAGGGCATATAAAGGGGGATTAGAGAAGTCATAGAATATTTTTGCAAAATTCAAAGAAGTGAAATCTATATATTATAGGGCACTCAAAAGGCCACTAATAAATGTCTGTTAACACCTTAAATGAACTTATTGAGGGTTTATTAGAAACGGATACAAAGAAAACTTTTGAATATATTCATAACATGTTTTAGCTGAGCATTATAACACAGTACAGCATGACATAAAACGTTAAATTAGTTTGTCTGGCATATTCAATAAAACAGGGCAAACAGCCGAGCGTAGAGGTATAGAAAAACAAATCAGTCATATTTAATAGTAAATAAAGTAAGAAACTGAAATATGATTGGTTTCTTTTCTTATGCTCACTGTTCTTTGTACCGCTGACTGCATCTAGAAGAGTTTCCTTAAAGTGGAGTGCCACTTTGTTCTCCCTCTTCATCCTCTTCTCTTGCTAAAGCCCCCAGACACATTTAAAAAAATGCTTCATACATACCTTTTAAATCTGCTAACTTCTAGCTGGTCCGGTAACATCATCAATCCCTTCTTTTTTCCTAGATTCTTTCCCCTGGACTTAGGAACACTCACATAAGGACTTGTGAGCAACACTTTGGATTGGGGTTCTGTGAGCCTAGGTTGTGTGTTAATGCACTGACAGCATTCATGACAGCATGGGTTCAAAAGAAGTGGACTGCGTGATGCTGGCCATCATTCAACCCTGAATAGGAACAGCAGAGGAGGAGACATAGACCATGGCTGAAGCATGGAGAGGGTGAGATGTCTTTTTGGACTTTGTTTTTAATATAGGATGGGGAGGTATTAAGGAAAAAAGGTGTCCTTAATTTATGTCTTGTCTTGAACATAGCCAGTTGTTGGAAAAATGGCATATAAAAGGAATACATCTTAAGTAAATATTTTAATTTCTGTAGTTTTTCTAGTAATGAAACACAACATTTTCTTTTTCATTTTATCACACACTGTACACATTAAAAAAAGAAGGTAATTCAATCTACTGCAAAAAAAGGAGACAAGCAGTTTGAAGAAAGCACAATAGTCCATTTGACATTTTCACAATTCTACCTGCATGTCTAAAGCTGACTTTTTAATCTGAGATTTTAATGTAAGATGTCAACAAAGACCATGTCACAAAATTAAAGGAGTTTAAGAAGTTTGAAGAATAATGTTTGTGTATTATGGTAACACTCCATAGAAACAAACTGACAAAGTGCAACGGATCCAGGAAACGCTCAGAAAAGTCTTTTATCATTTCCTGTCTTATCAACTTTTTATTTACTTTGAAATAACCACCTTGACATAATCACTTAGGCTTGAAAAGTTCAAATTGAAAAGATTTTAAAAATATTTGATAACAAATGAATGTTCATTACCCTATCTATATTTTTTAGTGAAAAACCTGGGAATATCACCATCTTGCCACTTGACTATTATAATCTTCAGTCGTGGCGATTTCTGTTGTTATTTCTTCCTTGTGCAGAATATGAGATTTATGTTCTCTAAGAAGTCTTCTTTCCTCCTTTCTCTTCTCTCTCTTCCTCTGGTGCTCTAATTGTCTGGTATATTGGAAACGTTGTAGAAAAAGGTCCTTAGCATATTCATACAGCTGCACGTCCAAATAATTAAGTTCCTTTATTCTTTCACGAGACCATTTATCAATGTCCACATTTGAAGCCCTGGTAGTATTGAACTGTGTAAATGGCGAAATAAACTTGAGATTGAATGTTCTTTCAAACAGGTATTGTGTTTTTCTTTGAAATTCAGTTAAGCCATAAAAGGCCATATTTTTAAGGTTATTTTTGGCACTCTGTAGAAGAATGTCATTCCTTTCACTTTCATTCATAAAAGTTAAGTTGTAACAGCCAACTAGGCTAAGGTCTGCCAGCATGCGGACTTGGCGATTGTTAGCTAGGTTATAGCTACAGTCCATGAATTCTTGAAGAGTGACTCCAGACCAGTCATCCCCAAGATAACATGTTGGCAACTCATCAGGGGTGGGGCTTCTTCCATCACAGACATGGAGGGATGCCTTCCAGGTTGCACCTCTCTGGACATGTTTCCATTCACTTAGGTATCTGGACACTGGGTCTCTCAACATTGTTATATAATAAAAGTTCCTGTAAGGAAGAAAGAGAAATATTATTCTATCATCATAAAAAACTCATGTGTTTTTGTCCATTGGAAACAAAATAATTAAAGAAAAGAACATGTTAGTTCATGTGATCTACAGAGCCACATTTTTACAAAATCTTACATTTTCAGATGGATGCATAATGTTAAATAAAATAAGCAGAAACAAATTCCTGTAGGGACAAAGGAAACATTAATTTCAACAAATCTAAAATGTTTTATAGAGTCATGAACCTGAGCTGTGGGTAATACTTCATTGAAAACTATAATCTAAACTATAATGTTTGTGTAAATTATATTTTAATTGTTTTTAGAATGTACAATTTTTAAACCAAAGTTTTATATCAATTTTATTATTATAATAAGAATAATAAAATATTTATTTTATAATTAAACATTCAATACATAATTAATCTGTGATACTGGTATTACATAGCATTTTGGGTTTTCTAAAGAAAAGCTAACATGTTTCTGCCTTTGTGACTGTCTCTCTCTCTCTCTCTCACTGAAGTATAACCTCATATAAAGAAAGCAGGGTAAAGGAGAACTCATACAGCTGTGTACAAAATAGAGCCTAAGGTATGTAGCTGTATAAACAATGTGTTTCTTTCAGGAAAGCAGTTAAAGTTACCCGAGTAAACATGTTAAAAATTGTCTCGAGCAAACCTGCTTGGTGAAAGTAGCAAGTGAAAAATATTTATAAACAATATTTTTTAATTACCTTATTAAATCAATGTAATATACAGTTTGAGCCAATAGATTGCTACATTCACCATATTACACATGTAGCAAAGTATTTGAGACCTGAATTTCCTTTTAAAAAACTGGAAAGCCCAGATGTGTGGTAAACAAAACTTAATACAGTGTAAGAATTAGTGGGGAAAGTGCTTTAAAAAGTGGGTATGGGGAATCATGTCAAGGAACCCTGTGGGTGAATGTATAGTCAATAATTAAAAAGCTTTGCAAGTTTGAGAGTTTAATACTACTTTAAAGCAATATTTTAGTCCAACCTCAGTTACTAGGAAAATGAATATAGACAGTATGCCTACCTGTACCTAGGGAAAATGCCCAATATCCTATTTTAATAAAATGGTTCTAGACAACATCCTTGCAAACACCTGACATCATAAATTTGCTGTTTTTAATAATCAATGGTCTACTCTCAAGCTGCTCTTCTTCAAGAAAACAATATATATAAATTACATGTATTCCCAAAAGATTTTTTTAAACAGCTCCCAGTACAAAGGATGTACCATAGACTATTAGTGGTAGATCATAAAGCTAATTTTAGAGAGGTCTCTCTGAAAATGAAACAGTCATAAGATATTTAGTGTAATCATTTTGACTAAATTGCAATGGGCTCATTTATCACAAAGCCAGTACAGGCAAGGACAATAACTGTAGCTTCAATTCAGGAATAAATATTCACTTTGTAGATTTTTGTGCTTATCCCATTTAATACCTTATAAATATGCATATACATAGGAATAAATAACATTTGCACTTGAGTCAAACTCAAAAGAATGTCTCTTCTTCCTTCTGTAGGAAGACCGCTGAGTCCTCGCCTGTTTCTTCATTCCTTACTAGGGAGATCATTTGATATATGCAGTCCAGTGTAGTAAGGAATGCAAGGATCTGTACATAGGTTAGACAAAAAAGAGCTCACCAAAAAATGGCCCAACATAGGAGGGTGTGAGGCTCAGCAATCTTTCTATACTGCTCGAGGAACCCCTTACATCAAAGACCTGCAGTTGCAGATATGTGAATTTCAAACTAAACATACAAGACACAGCACATTAAAACCAAAGAAATATATTAATTATAGAATTATCTATGAATAATTAAATAAAGTGTTTGTGTACCATAGAAAAGTACTTTTAAAACCGAATTCTATAGAAGTGACTTCAACCAACATTTACATGATAATACTTACTGGAACATTTTGTGGTTCTGCAGCAAGACCAATGTCTTGTTTCTCATATATTTCCTTTATTTCCCTGGTCCACTGCCTTTTGTCCCACCTAGTATTTTTTTTCTCTGCACACCATGCTGCTCGTCCTTTATAACTGGCATTTATAATGGGTTGCCTGGGTCTCATCAAACATTTAAGTCTGGAAATGGTGGCATCATCTGATTCACCAAGTTGTGACAGTTATACTGTATTTCCTCACTTACCAAAGTTACCTGTTTTTAGTTCTTAATTATTACATCATTAAAAGTCATGGGGCCCTGTACAGCTTCTGGGAGGTTCCCACCCAAGCGATCACACACATACACACAGAGGTGACAGCGATCAAAAACATACTATCAGAGGGGACTGCACACACAGATATACACACATGGGAGACAGAGATCACATGTACACTCATTGAACGTGCTCGAGGAAAGTTAGGATCACATTTTGGACAGCGAGGACAACTGGTTCATAAAAATCTTTAAAGAGGCTATATACATCAAAATGGAACAGCCATTTATAGCTTAAGTATAATCTGCTTAATTTTGCCTTACCTTACCTAGTTTCTCCTTTCCCCTCTCGTCAACATACTAATTATATTTTTAATTGAAAACTTAAAATTTTCATTACATACCGTATATACTCGAGTATAAGCCGTCCCGCATATAAGCCGAGGTACCTAATTTTACCAAAAAAAACTGCGAAAAAGTATTGACCCGAATATAAGCCGAGGTACCTAATTTTACCAAAAAAAACTGCGAAAAAGTATTGACCCGAATATAAGCCGAGGTACCTAATTTTACCAAAAAAAACTGCGAAAAAGTATTGACCCGAATATAAGCCGAGGTACCTAATTTTACCAAAAAAAACTGCGAAAAAGTATTGACCCGAATATAAGCCGAGGTACCTAATTTTACCAAAAAAAACTGCGAAAAAGTATTGACCCGAATATAAGCCGAGGTACCTAATTTTACCAAAAAAAACTGCGAAAAAGTATTGACCCGAATATAAGCCGAGGTACCTAATTTTACCAAAAAAAACTGCGAAAAAGTATTGACCCGAATATAAGCCGAGGGTGGGAAATGAGGCAGCTAATGGTAGATAGATACCAATAAAATTACATGAATATTTATTTAAAAGAAAAACAATAACCTAGCTCTGTAAGTGGAAAAGGGGGTACAGGGCTACATATTATGTACTACGGATCATTTAACCCATTCATGTTAGCAGAGGATCATTGTAAATGTATTGTTGCAGGCACTCTATATGTACATGTACTATATACTACATATAGAATGCACTGAACAATAGATTTACAATTATCCTCTGCTAATATGAATGGGTTAAATGATCCGTAGTACATAATATGTAGCCCTGTACCCCCTTTTCCACTTACAGAGCTAGGTTATTGTTTTTCTTTTAAATAAATATTCATGTAATTTTATTGGTATCTATCTACCATTAGCTGCCTCATTTCCCACCCTCGGCTTATATTCGGGACGGCTTATACTCGAGTATATACGGTACTTTATTTTGGACCCAGTGATATCGTCACTGGGTCTCTGCACCTTTCTTTGCAATATAGGCAGATGACAGCTGGTGGGAGTGGCCAGCAGAGTGTCATCCATAGATTCCTTAAAACATTACAGTACCCTACTTCAATAATCCTCTAATGAGCCTTTATACCTGATGCAGATAGTAGTCTGGCACTTGGGAGGAGTTATGCAAATATCAAGATGTCTTGATGGGTGGATATTTGTCTGGAGGAGTGCGTGTTCCTAGGCAGACTGCATTTACCTACAGACTGCCCTTGGTAACACTCACATGTGATGTGGAACCTCCAATAGTAAGGAAAAAGCTATATGATGCTTGACGTCCCCCAGCCCGGAAATGAAGCAAGCTCTATCTGACTTTCTGCACCTTCTAATGTGAGAAGCTCTCAGTGTGCCATAAAATCAGAGTAAGCCATTTTAAAGAGGAGCCTGTGTAACTGTGCATGACTGGAGGTTAGGCTGGAGTTCAGCTTTAATGCTGCTTATTTGAGATTTTACAGAGATGGCTTGGTAAGGATTGGAAGGTGCAGGATCTTCCTAGGAAAATGTGTTTGGAAATCTCTTTGTTATAGGCATGGAAGGCGCGTGATAACTGCATTGTGACACATAACAGAAAGGAAGTTGTCTCAGCTCCTGTCGTTCATCTTGACACATATTCCCATCTATGGCCATCAAGTGACTACATCTTAAACTCTCTGCTGCTGGTTTTTGACACTTACAATTTTAGCTTAAACTTTCTTTTTTCTCTTTGCTACATTAATATTATAGCAATTATTATGCTTGTCATTTTGTCTTGACCTTTACTACCCTAAAATACTCCTTGCGCAAATTATGTTGAAACATTGGTGTTTGCTTAACTGACCTGGCTAACAATGCTGCTAGAAATCTTCATGTCCTTTCTTGTTCATGCTAAAATTATTGATGTCAAAATTTATTAAATAATTGCATGGCAGAGATAAGAAATTGTGCACAGTGAAAAAAAGAAAACACGAGGCATAGAAAATAGGGAATAAAAAGACTTCGATGTAGTTTGAAGGTATGTAATTTGCCACATGCACACAACTGACCTAATAATAAAAATAGATTAAACCCTTACATCAAAGACCTGCAGTTGCAGATATGTGAATTTCAAACTAAACATACAAGACACAGCACATTAAAACCAAAGAAATATATTAATTATAGAATTATCTATGAATAATTAAATAAAGTGTTTGTGTACCATAGAAAAGTACTTTTAAAACCGAATTCTATAGAAGTGACTTCAACCAACATTTACATGATAATACTTACTGGAACATTTTGTGGTTCTGCAGCAAGACCAATGTCTTGTCTCTCATATATTTTCTTTATTTCCCTGGTCCACTGCCTTTTGTCCCACCTAGTATTTTTTTCTCTGCACACCATGCTGCTAGTCCTTTATAACTGGCATTTATAATGGTTTGCCTGGGTCTCATCAAACATTTAAGTCTGGAAATGG